ATATTTCTTTATTGATTTCAGAGAGGAAGGGAGAAGGAAAGAGAGATAGAAACATCAATGATGAGAGAAAATCATTGATCGGCTGCCTCCTGCACACCCCCCACTGGGGATCGAGCCCGAAACCCAGGCATGTGCCCTCGGCCGCAATCGAACCTGGGACCCTTCAGTCTGTTGGCCGACGCTCTATCCACCGAGCCAAGCCAGCCAGGGCTCTTTTACTTTTTTATAAAATATTTTTAAAATTGAGTTTTAGAGAGAGAGAAATATCAATGTGAGAGCAAAACATCAAAACATTAATCTGTTGCTTCCTGAACACCCCCTACTGAGGGCTGTGCCCTGACCAGAATTGAACTGGCAACCTTTCCATGAATGGAGGACACCCAAACAACTGAGCCACACCAGCCAGGGCTGGTGTTTCTTATTGCTGTTTCTTGTTTAATGACTTACCTGGACTAATACTGTAAAGTCTGTATTCCCCTAGAATGTGCAGCCAATGAATTTACTGCTCCGTGAGTTTACTGGTCAACAAATGAGTCATCAGAGATTTCCTCAATGAGTAAGTCTCCCACCCTTTGCCAAGGGACTTTGTGTTTGTTTGGAGGCATGTCTCTGACGTTCATACTTTACCCTTCACTTCCTGCTTGCACAGGGTCTCAGGTCAGCCAGAGGTGAGAGACTGGGGTCCTCCTAGAACTTTCTGGAAACACATCCAGCCCTAACATGTGTGTAGCCTCTAGATCCACAAGAACATATCAGAACTTTTCAAAGCTGCCTATGGGCATTTCATTCCCCAAATCTAAAATTTTTGTTCAAGCTCTTGTTTGCCCAACTTGTGATTTCCTGTGATCGTTTGCCACAAATGCCCTGGTGATAGAATTTTCCCACTGAGGGAGTTCCCAGGTAAAATAAAATAAAGACAAGCCCTCTGAATGGGACTCTTGAGGAAGAGCCAGAAGGTCCAACACTAACATAGTTCTGGGGATGGCCTTCCTGTGGAGCTCCAGATCTGGTCTGCCCTCTAAGAGCTGCCAGGCTGCTGGGCTTTACAGCTTCTGTGGGGGAGATGTGGCTGGTTTTCAAGGCTACTGGGGACCTGGGGAGTGGGGCCATATTTAAATGCCCTTTGTCCTTAGGAGAAACTCATCAGTTTTTCTTTCATTAGCATCTTCATAGTGTTTCAGGCTTTTGGTTAACTTTTAGAGTTCTAAAGGTTAATTATGACAGTTTTTCCAGTGTTTTTGTTGCTTTTTCGTTGTTATTGTTTATTCTCACCTGAGAATAGTTTTCCATTGATTTTTAGAGAGAGTGGAAAGAAGGGGGAGGGACAAAGAAAGAGAAACATCAATAAGAAACTATTGGTTGCCTCCTGCACATTCCCTGATTGGGACCAGGAGTAGATTGAATCTGCAACCAAGGTACCTGCCCTTGACCAGAACTGAACCTGGGACCCTTCAGTCTGAGGGCTGACGCTCTATCCACTGAGCCATACGAACTAGGGCTTGTTGCTTTTTTTGGAGAAGTGAATTTACAAAGATACTCACTCCACCATTCTAGAAGGCCCCTGTAAGTGCCTGATTTAACATTCATAATAAAGCCAAGAATTTTATTTTGTCAGACCCATTTATTCATTCTTTTACTAAATATATAAAACCTGTGCACACCAAATTGAAGAGGACACAGAGAAATTATCTTCTAGAAGGGTAGAAATGAATATAAATCAGTAAATTATTGACTACCACTTGTTACCATATACTGTGCTATCTGATTCATAGATATCACTTAATCCATTTGGCACTGAGAGTGAAAGCAGTAGTATTAAGTCCTATGTTAAGAGGACTCCTCTGATATATTTGTATTCTCCTTAAAATGTGAAGCTGGTATCTCACATTGACCCAAGGCTTGAATAGTAAAGCCAATAAATACAATAAGGAAAATAACATGTATCCACAGATGAGTAATGATCAAAGAAGTGACTAATCGAAGTTTTCACTATTATTTGGGAACTTAATGATTCACATTATATGAAGGATTCCAACCCTTGCCCCTCCAACATGCCTTCAATCAGATGCAAAATGCTCTTTTTAAAAGCAGAAAGTCGGCTTGGTTTCCAAATCTAAATTTCATGTGGTAGTAAAGCAAATCACAGTGATATCAGGCCTGAGCTTTATTGTTTAATCCATCAGTTACCAGATGTGTTCGTCACCTGGTTACTAGAGCATACATAAATGCTATTTGGTCCCCATTCTTGCACTGTGGTGGGGGGGGTCCCTCAGCCCAGCCTGCACCCTCTTGCAGTCCAGGACCCCTAAGGGGATGTCTGCCTGCTGGCTTAGGCCCGCTCCCCATGTTGAGGTGGGAGAGGCTCTATCCACTGCCGCTGCACTCGCCAGTCATGAGCCCACTGGCAAGCCCAGCTTCTGGCTGAGCGGCACTCCCCCTGTGGGAGTGCACTGACCACCAGGGGGTAGCTCCTGCATTGAGCATCTGCCCCCTGGTGGTCAGTGCGCATCATAGCGACCAGTCGTTCTTCCATTTGGTCGATTTGCATATTAGGGTTTTATTCTATACAATAGTCTCTTCTTCAGCAGAAAGAAAGGTGAGTGGATTCAGGCACCAAACCTTAATTCCAAATTTTAAAAATAGAGCAGACACTCACTTGAAAGATATGTACATTTGTATTGATATATAGATATTTTACTTGTATAGAAATCATTTGATTTTAAAACGTATTAGAGTATGAAACAATTTGGAAATAAAAACCATTGTTCTTAAAATAGCTTTGCCCCAAGTCATGGAACCTTTTCATGTGACACCAAGGTATTTGATGTTGACTTAATGCACGTGAGGGAGCCATTACAGATTCTTGATCATGGGAGTGTGGTGAACCAAGACAACATGGCGAATGGTTGAATGGATAGCAAAAGCTTAGAAACAGAGACAATAGTTAGGAATTTATTGTAATAGTACAGATTGGAAATGGAATGGCTGTGATCAAGAACAGTGACAGTGGAAAGGTATTATAGGGAATGAAATGGATATAGCACTATCATGTTTATAAAGCACTGTATTCTATACTGGAAGCTCTGGTCTATGTCAGTTCAGGGCAGGAATCTTGGAGTAGTCTTTCTGCCCTAGCTATTGATATGTATAACTCAAAAATTATGTAGAGAATGAAGCTCTGAGAAGATTGTAAATCTTCTATTGCCACTACAGAGAGCACCTGTTTCAGCAGTCCTTGGCCAATCTGCTTCTTCTCCATGCCAGTGCAAAAGCTGTTATATTCATCTAACACATTGCTATGTTTAGCAACAGAGCAAATAACTGCTATACCATCCATATGGCAAATTGTGCTTTTAAATTGTTCATTACATTAGCCATCGCTGGCCTGAAAAGCAAATGACACTAGTTGCAGATGTTTTTAGCAGTATGTTTTCTTTTAGATGTTTCTTAAAGAAATAGAACATGGCTTTTAAGTTCAGAGGTGGATAAAGGCAAAATGGCAAAGGCCAATGCAAAGCCTAGACAATTATATTATTGCCATGCACATTGGGGAAATTGTTCACTGGGCAAACCTAGAGGAAACAAAGGGACAAATAAGAGTCCAAATGGTTATTAAAATGACTCTAAGTAATTCTTGACATAATGTTGTATTAAAGCCTCACCCTTTTTAAAGACAAAGAATGCAATTAAAAGATGAACTATCAAAAATTATGTTTAGTGAGTTTTTTTATTTTGAATACATATATATTTTATGTAGTCATGTCACAAAGAGAGATATTTTATTTTTTAATTAACAAACGCATATTTGATTACTTTAAATCCAGATTATAAACTACTTGTTAGATACTTGAAAAAGGTTTAAAAATTATGGGAGAAAAATAGGATTCAGGTCATTTTGCCCCTTCCTCATCCCCTTTCTAGTCCTAAAGCCACTCAGTCGAGCAGAGTAAATAAGGCTCCCATGCTAGGGCTGGCTGCAGAAGGGTGATAACCTTCACAGGATGAGAAGGACATCCTTGGAGAAGGATTACATAGCATGGGATGATGGAGCCAGAGTGAGTGAGAAGAATGTTGCCATGGTGATGCAGCCTGGTGTGGGTAATTAGAACCAGAGAAGGGTAAGGACAGTGTCCACATGGGGACATCCAGGCGTGGAGAGTGAGACTGAACAGGACCCCAGGGCACTGTGCAGGAGAGGAAATGGCAGCTGACAAGGGAGATTCATTACATATTGATCAATATCAGGATTATATGAAGGATAATGGGAGCCAGGTTTCTTACTATCAGATGAGGAAGTTAAAAT